GGGAGGGGAGGGGAGGGGAGGGGAAGGAAAGATGGGAGGAGGGATGCAGAAGGAAAGGAAGAGAAAATTGGATTAAGCAGCATGGAGGTCACTGGTGACCTTGAGAAGAACATGGTTGCAGAGAAATGCACAGGTTTACTGGACAGGTGCTGCTTAAGCTGGGGACCAAGATGACAGACCCATCTGTACCAACAACATGGTGAGGAAACAGGCTCAGACAGGCTCAGAGCTTGCCACGGTCCCTCACAGAGCCAGGATCCCTACTCAGACGTGTCTGACTCTAAAGCCTAAGATCTTTTCCACTCCACTGCATCTGATGCCCAGCATGGGTCCCTTCCAGAGGCCTTGCTCCTCCTGACCTCCCTTCACATGGCTCTTTAGGACTTATTTGGGGATGCACCATCTTGTGTAGAGTGGTTTGCCTAGGTGTAGACAAATACCCGCCTCCAGCCCTCCTTGCGACACTCCCAAAATGCACTCCTCCTTGAAGGGCAGTGCCCCTGCCTCACCCTCAGCCTTAAAGCTTAGTACTTACACACCCAGGCTTTGGCCCCAGAAAGTCCCAGGTTCAAATTCAGATTCGCCACTCGGCCGAGCCTTGGTTGCCTTATCTGTGGAATAGGAAAGGGTATCTGCCTCTCAGAGTTGTTGAGCGGGTAGAGGATGCATCTGTCAGTGAAGAGTAAGCATTGAGTAAGCGATGGCTGCTGGTTTTGTTGGTTTTTGTTTTGTTTTGTTGTACTGGGAATCAAACTCAGGACCTTATGCTTGCCAGGCAGGTGCAGCACCAGCCCTTTGGTGGCTGCTAGTTTTGTTACCCACTGGAATTAGTTAAGAAGTTTGCAGCTGGTGGGAAATAGGTGGGCAATGACCGGATAGCTGTCTCTAGCTGGTTTGGGGAGAGCTGGGGGGCCTGTCACTGGCCTAGGGGCTGGTAGAGTTGGAGAAATAAGGCCTTAAAAATAAGAACCAAGTTAGATTATGTGAAGGTACAAACACCCAATGATGAATGTCATTATATTGTAATACCTAAAATGTACCAATAAAATTAATACTAAACAAATAGACAAAAGAAAGAAAAAGAAAAGAAATAAGGCCTTAGCTGGGCCTTCTACTTGGAGCCCAAGATACTGGAGGGGAAGGAATGAAAGAAAATATTGTGAACCTTGGGTAGTGTCATTGCCTACCACATCGTGCTTCTTACTGCCTTAAACAGACACAGGAGGGTGTCACACGTGAGCTTTGCGTTTGTTTTCTGAGCCTCTGGTTATCAAACCCAGAAGGGTTGTACCACTGAGATACAACCCCCGTCCTTTTTATTTTTTATTTTGAGACTGTGTCTCCTTCAGACTTGTACTTGCCTTAGCCTCTCTGAGCACTGAGATTACAGGTGTGTGCCACTGTCCCCAGCTTGAAAGTGATGTTTATGGCAGTGAGGATTAGCTAGGATATGTAAGACACTTTGTACTTAGGAAGCACTCAATAAATATACCAATGTTAATGGTTTTTATAACTAACACTCATCATGATATTGTAAGGAAGGTGATAGGTGCACTTAGTAGGAGGAGAGTTGTGGTACAGACAGTATCTATATAACTAGCCCAGGGTCACACAGTTAGGTAGTGAGGAAGCCAGAGTTCATATTCACACAGTCTGGCTTCAGAACCCATTAGATTAATTAACTAACTAACCATTATAGTCCCACCTCACTGGAGAAGACACTTAGAGTCCTAAAAATGACTCCTTGGGGTTGGACCCTCCTGAATATACATCATCACCCACAGAGATGCGGTGTTTACCCCACCCTGAGAAGACCAGAGTTCCCAGGACAAAGGACCTAGAAATGGAGAAGACCCCCAGAAAGAATAAAAGATGTTTTCCCCAGGTGCTGCCCTTCTCCCTGAGCCCCCGTCAATGGCTGTGACCCCCATGGATCCCCTCAGTGCCCAGAGGACAGCGGCAGATGGCACTAGGGCTCAACAGGCCACAAATCTTTTTTTTTTTTTTTTTTTGG